CAATAGGCAAGCTTCTCCCTTTTCAACGAATATATTGCCTACCAAGTGGTAGCAATAACAATTGTAATGTGCGGCAACATACCTAAAATCATCCATTCAGCTCTTCACGTCATCTCACTCCCATGTTTTCTTTCTTCCATTATATTCTGTTTCTGCAGCTTCCTTGGCCCATTTCTTTAACTTCATCACGCTCAGTCCTAACAGCTTCACCACGTTCGTCTGCCACATCGTCACGCCGATCTTACACACTCTCCCCTCCTTAACGGGGGAAGTGGTCGAAATCTCATCTAATAACCTCGCGATATACATCAGAAACTATTCACCGGCTCACCCACCTATGGCAATAAAATTCAACTCCAGCGGACTTCGACAGAATACTCCTCGCGGCCATAGGACCCGGGACCATTAACCTGGACTGTTTGAACAGTCGTCGAAACGATTCCGTCGTCAAATTTACAGGTGGCGAAACCTGCAACATATCATTTCGTCGACTACACCTGTTATAACGAGTTGAACGCCAGCAACTACAATCGAACTATTTAACAATAACGGGAACAGACATAATGAAAAATACACCATTACCACTGATACCCAGGGCTCTGGCCGATGTTATCTAACTTACTATTCACACACAAATAACTTTAGAACTCACCCACGCAGTGGTTTTTTTGTCGTATCCGAATAGCATCATAACGAACGATGGTCAGCACCCTTAATACAGTGTCTCAACCGTCCAATCATATATACCGAGAAACTTCGAACTCAAACACGCTGTTGTATTATCACAACGACGACTTATACATATCCTAGAGAAAGCAGAAAATATACCCCCTGAGTGTGTCCGTCCGCGGAGATAGCGAATCTGTGTGAAACATCTAACAGACCGAGCTATAGTTTCTCATACAGTTCTCACCATAGTTTAAACCGTACATGCATGCCACCGAGAGCTAGGTTGTGTCATATCCGGCTTCCGCCATTGGATAGAAATCTCGGAAATTTATGTGGCATGGCATCCTGCATAGCCGATAAGGCTGGTGCTTGATCGTGCGTGCCACTTACTTAAAGGTGTCTTCCCGATCTGTGACGAGAGTCAGACGACATAATGTCATCTCTCTTTTGCCGTGCATATTGGGAAGATAAGCCCTGCTCAATAGGGAACCTGTCACACTTCACGACGCCGTTGCGTTTTTCATCCCCTTATCTGCAGAATTCCGATATCTGGCTGCTCCGCCGATCGTTACCTGAGAGGTTCTAGCTTTTACGATCCCGCCGACGACGACAATGTCTCAGTTATCACTATTTCTCGATCGGATTGCCTTCTTCGGCCGGTGTGCCTAATTCAGTTGGGTGAGCACAAACAAAAGGTCGCCGTGCTTAGACGAAGGAATGTCGTGACATCCGTGGCGACATGTCCCATGTCCGTGAGTCAAATAGAAGGACATTTATTATCACTCAGATCCTTCGTTGGCAAAGGTTTGCATGTTCACCATTTTCACGAGAATGCCTTTTGTTCCTCTAGAAGGATCGTAGAAACTAATATACAGTCGTTCTTTTGATGATAATTTTTTTGGGGTCTAAGTCCTAGTTTGTGTCTAATGTAGGCTGGCTTTCTAAGCTTCGCTATGCATTCGGACAAGAGTGTAAAAGACTAAGCAGGTATATATCTCTCTGTACTGACAAGGCAAAACAAAAACGCCCGAAAAAAGAAATGCAATGCAAAAATAGTCTTACAAGGTCATATATACACACTCAGGAGCACAAACCCGTTTCTGGTCATCCTTCATAGCTTGCCCCGATTCCCTATCTCCGCCAAATCGCGCAGCCTGTTTCGTCACTCATTTTTTTCGGTCCCCTCTTCTTCTTCTTCTTTTTCTTACAAATCTCCAGTCTTGAAGAGCTCCAAGTGCTGGCGCTCACGAGCAACACCCTTGTTGTCGAGCCAGTCTCGTACTAGGAGCATCCACTCCTCGGGTCCGCAGATGTAGTACTCGGCGGTGCTGTCGCCGAGCTGCAGTAGGTTCTCCTCGGCAAGCTTGTCAAGGTTGATTCGGCCTGTAAAGTCGTAATCCTTTCCGACAGTGTCGCTATCACGAATGGTCTCGAGGAAGATCTTGGCCGTCACGTTCTCGTGCTTGGCCGCGGTCTCGCGGGCCTCGGCAGTGAAGCATGCGGAGCCAGAGCTGTAAGCACCGTGGATCCAGTTGATGGGTCGGGAGGCAGTCTCAGAGTTGAGGACAGCATCCTGGATGGAGATGAGGGGGGTGGCGCCAACACCGGCGGAGAGGAGCACAAGAGGCTTCTTGATGGCGGAGGCGTCGGCAGGATCGACAAAGAACTCGCCGGCAGGCGGGCTAACCTCGAAAACGTCACCGACGTTGTAGTTGCGGTAGAGAAGGTTGGAGATGAGACCGTACACCTTTCCGGCGACGACATCCTCAATGGGGGCGTTCTCAATGGTGTCCTCCAGCTTCACGCTGATGCGGTAGTGGTTGGCTCCGGACTGGGGAGCGGCGCTCAGACTGAACTGTCGGCTCTGGACAAGTCCGTCACCGCCGGGGATGGGCACCTGGACGCTCAGGTACTGGCCGGGGAGGAAGCTGGGCAGCTTCTTGCCGTCGACGGGCTCAATGTAGTAGCTGGTGACGGTCTCGTTCTCAGCCTCCTTCTTGATGATCTTGAAGTCGCGCCACGTCTTCCAGTCGCCAGTCTGGCTGTACAAGGCGGCCTCACGGTTGATGAAGACGTCGGCCAATTGGCCGTAAGCAGCAATCCAGGCCTCCGTGATCTCGGGGGTCAAGGCGGGGCCGAGGACCTCGCCGAAGGCGCCGACGAGATGCTTGCCGACAATGGGGTAGTGCTCGGGCTTGATGAAGAGGGAAGTGTGCTTCTGGGCAATGCGCTCGACGGCGTGCTGAAGCTTGGGGAGGTCGTCAATGTGCTGGGCATAAGCCAGCACGGACTTGGCCAGAGCCAAGGGCTGCTCACCGGTTACCTGAGCACGGAGGGAGAAGAGGTTCTTGAACTTTGGGTTGTCACGGAGCATGTTGTTGTACATGGTGGTGGTGATGGCCTTGCCATGTTGCTTGAGAATAGGCACGGTGGCCTTGACAAGATTGACCTGAGCTGGTGTCAGAGGCATTGTGTTTCGGATGGAAGTGTGTTGTTCTGAGTGTGTGTTGTGTGTAGTGTGTGTAAGTCGGAAGCACTCAGTTGAAACTGTTGTTTCGATAGGTTGCTGCTGCTGCTGCTTTTATTGTTTGATGATGATGAAGATGAGGATGAGAATGAATTGAAAGCTTGGTAATGAAGTTCCAAAGCCATATATACATATACATCCGGGACTCGTAATATATGATTTTCTCTCTCCGTAGCCACTCACGGAAAGGCCATTAACTATTACGCCCCATCCGCCGCTGCGCTTGGCAAAGGGTAGCTTGGGTGCATAGGGCGACAATTCAATCATGCCATAACGGCGGTCCCCTAGCCCCGGGACCTACTGTGCAGCTAGTCGACCTAGGACCGTATATTTTGTCTGGGCCTGAGCGGCCCGTTGCCCAGTATGCCGGCATGGTGTGAGGCAGGGAGCAGACATCTCCGCGGGGGATAAGATAGATGGGAGGGACCCCGAAAAAAAAGAAGGGCCTGGTTATAATTTTTTTTTTCAGCTTGGTTAGTCTTCGTTGTGGTTTGAGCAAAAAATAAGACGATTAGTATTGAGATAATTGGAGAAGGGCAAACGATGACGCCAGAGAAGAAGAGTCACATCGATCGCATCACATGGCGACGTGAAGAAAACGGGACATCAATTGGATCGATCAATTGGATCAATTGTGTACAATTTTTTTTTCCTGTTTAGCATTGGCCTGTATGCAACTAGATGCTGAATAATTAAGTTATGTGTACCTGCGGTTTGAGAAGGTTTACTATTGTTATTGGTTGATTATTTATGGTATTGATTGAGTCCAAAACCACAATAATAAGTATACAACAACAGGCAACATCATTGACAACTCAATTGATACAACACAAACACATCGCCATCAATACAATAATTAGTGCTTTCGGCTCTCGCTCTCGCTCTCCCTCTTTTTTTGGGCGGAGAAGCGGAAATGGTACTTTTTTCTGTCCTAGAATGCCAATAGCGAACCAGGAACAAGCTTTTCCCTGACAAAGAATGGGCTGACGTTTACTCATCCGCACTCGCACTCGGACTAAACCGGGACCAGGATTTGGCCTGGGGAAGCACAAACTAACACACACAACGCACAGCAGCAACCAACCAACACACCGTCAGATACTTCGACGGCGGCGCCTAACAACTGATGGTATTTTGGTTCTATTCTGGTTTGTGGCTGACAGGGTTTCTCGATATTTTCTTTTCTTTTTTTTGTCCTTTTGAGCCACATGAACATCCGGGGGATGGGGGAACAGGAGACAACCGCAGAGTACTCTTTCACAAAAAGAGCACTCGGAATAATTCGCCCAGACAAAAAAAAGACATCAATTGTTCTGTATCTCCCCGGAGATGCTTCAATTCGATTTTCAACTTCTCGCCTGTCAGACCAATTAGTTTATTTTTATTTTTTTAAAATCCCGTTATTTTATCTTGATGAATTTTTTTTTTCTCTTTCTTAATTCCCTCTCATCCGCTTCCACTTGTCCTTTCATCAAAAGCAGCGAGTATCATCACTCAAAGAAGGCACAAGGTGGGTCAAACAGTTGATTTGAAATCGTACGTACAACCAGACTGTGGTCCCTATAGGAAGCGAAGTAGTACCAATTCTACCTAGACTCCGAAGACTACAATAAAGTACGCGGAGCTCAATTCATGCACGCAATATCCGGAGAATATGACTATCAAGGGCGGGGCGTAAGGCGGTCTGCGGCATTCATTCCATAGTATCCCACATCCTACATGCCACTATCCAAAAAGCCCACACACTCCCTAGTGAATAGCCTCTTGGCTACAATTCTCTCCACCAGTCTCTCATCCAATCACCGGCCGCGTGGCCTAATGGCTAAGGCGTCAGATTTCGGTTCTGTTCCGGCTCTCTGAAGATTCCAGGTTCGACTCCTGGCGTGGTCGCTTTTTTTGCACTACCTATATTCTATTTAGATGGTATATGGAACAGGTCTGTTGGTTTGATCATTTTTTTTTTGGCAATACACGACCATTTTCCAATTGCAAGAAATCCATTTTTATTCCAGATAAATATACGTATGTTTGTGATTATGTGTTGTACCCTTAGCATGACCATGTCTCTTTGTGACATATATGCCTTCTTATCCATGAATCATGAAGATATATATACCCTATAGTCATATCCAGCAGCAAAGAGCTAGGTGTCAATTGCACATAAAATGATTTCACAACTTCTTCAACGCCCCAATGATGCGTGGCAATTACCCAAATATTGTTTACGTACCCCTCCTAAAATGCTTGTTCGTATCCCAATATGGCTCCCCATCAGGCGGCCACAGTCCGCCAACAGATCGACACCCAGGATTCCAGTGATCCTCGACAAACCCAAACGGCCACATTGCAATGAACAGAACCTCATCTGCTGGACAGGGCTGTTGCTGCTTCCAAATTGTCCATCCAAGATCATTCATCAGTCGGTTCACAGTTGCTCGTCCCGCTTCGACCGCCCCCTGAACCTGAAGCTCCATGGCATCGCGCCCCTTCTTGTCATCTTCATCGTCATCCCTGGGCTTCTTGGCTGCTGCTGCGTATAGAAGTTCTCGAACGTAGAAAAAGCTCTCGCAAATATCCTCCATGACAGTATCTATGGACGTGAAAATCAATTCGTCCTCTGCACTCCATTTCTCCCTGTCTATTGTCGCCGGCAGTAGGAAATGGTTTCTGCATCGATCGATCGCATCAGCGGTCCTATTGACCTCGTCGTCACCCCTAGCCCATGGATTGGGAGCATCGTTGGGCAAGGGTGGTGCATCATACCAAGTCGCAGTGATGGTTTCAATCTCGTCGATGAAGAAATCCGCCTTTAGAGACCCGAGACTCATCGAGGCCATTCTCTTGGCAAACCGACCAACAATGAGGTCAACGACTCCCTGCCAGTTAACTGTAAATCTGCGCGGCTGTCTGACCACGCCCTCAAGATACGTCTTGATGTCCTTCAACTCGCCCTTGCTCACCGACTCGAGCCTCACAAGATCCGGTCTATCGGCGTCAGAGCTGGAAATGTTGACTGGGAAGAATAGGGCCGACACCATTGACGAAAAATCGATCCGGAGACGGTCCGCATCCAGTCCGTTGTACCGCTCGCCAATGGCCCTCGCCCACATGAAGCCGGCCATGGCCTCGTCGCCAAGCTTGTCGTCTGGCATCATGGTGCGGGTCATGCGGACGAGGTTCAGACCGTCGCCAAAGTCGCAGAAGATGGCTTCAAACCCAGCCTCTGTGCGAACCACCCCGTCGACGCCCCACGAGGCAGCAATCTTGCACAGGTCAAGTGCTCGAGCCCACTCACCGAGTGCAGGACCGCTCTGATCTGTTGAGTTTTCCCGGAGCAGGAGATCTTGAGTATCGAGAGTGCCCATTGAAGTCTTGCCAGCACTCATTCCGTCAATGTAAAGAAGATTCAGGTCACGAGTTGCCTGATATGTGTGGAGATATCCTCGGAAATTCAATTCATCATTGTCATCATTACCATCATCATTCTCACTCCCGGGACTGATTTGGCGACGACGCAGCTCTTGGCGATCTTGATCCTCAAGTGGCTTCTGCGCCTCGTCCTGGTTTGCTGGAGGCGGCTTTCTCGGATCCCCTTTGCCTGGGCCTGGTTCCTTATGATCTCCTGGTGGTCTCACTCCTGGGGGGCCATCATTCTTTCTCCCCTTTCGCGACCTGGCAAAGCCTTCCGCGTGCTCTATCTCGAAAGCCAGCCACTCCGGGCCCTCTGGAATCTTATTCTTGGAATCTCCATGATAAAGCAGCGTGCCTCTAGGTATGGTAGATGGGAAGAAGCTGAAGCCGTTGTGATAATATGAAGACCCCCACTGTCGCCCGGCAGAGTGAATTGCGTTGAATATCCTGTTGGCATTCTCCCTGGAACATTCGTGGTTTGGTCTTATGGGCTCCGAAAGACCGTTTCCGGCGGCGCCGAATGCCAAAAGCAGAGTGGTCAGAGCCGTTGGAATCATGGCTGCCGTCGATCTGAAAATCTGGACCTCTGAAACCGATCTCACAGCTCGTTCCGTATTGATTGGGAACACATATCTCTGTCAAGTAGCTGCCTCCTTGCAGAAAAGCAATAAGAACGTCGTCGTTGAGGATCTTGCTTACGCGGCCCGCTCAAGGGTTATCAACCATTTCCGGATAAAACCCTGAGCTAGGCAACCGTAGATTTAAGATGTCAATATGAACAGCCGGTGCGCGTCAAATTAGAGAATTAAGAAACAAAATGCCTAGGAAATCTATGAACTCGCTATAAATTCTTTACGGTAAGGTATTTTGGAAAGCTCTTGATAACGTGGTCATGTAATGCAAGAATTGACTGCCACTTTTCAAAGTGCATCCCACAATATGCCTGCAAGCTACCAGAAGAAACAGGATGATAACAGAGTCCCATCATTATGTTGCTCATTCAAACGACAAGAAGAAAAGAGAATAAGAAGATTGTACAGCTCCGGGAGCCACAAGTAAACAATTGACTGCCACGTGTGTCCAATTCCATAGCCCGCGACGAGATCGAGGTAACGAGGCCCCAAGCTCTCAACAGGTCTCCTCCCTGAGTGGGGGAGCGTGGGGGGTTCTTCAAGACCCGAGAAGCGATCCAGGGCCCGTCATTCCACTGATCTTCCGCCGGGTGAGATCCCCTAGCGCCTTCTCTTTACTGGAGTCAGTGAGCCTCTACTAGTATACAGAGCACATGGTCAGTTACTTGGTACAACAATAAAAACAAGGGAGAGGGGAGGAGGGGTAAAGGAAAAAATATAGCATAAAACCAATAATAGCTCAGACTGCTGATATCTGAACTGATACATATCACGCCTAATCAATTCCCTCAGCGAAGCATCACCGTGAAAAAAATTTATACATACAACACAAAGGTCTATCACATGGTGGCCACCGTTGAAAAGTGGCATCATTGGGTAACACCCAAGTCCCCAAATACCGACGCCTCACCGCTGATCAAAAACGGGCGTCCAAGGTGATTGAAAAGAGAGACGGCGAGAAAGAAAGAAAACCACACCGTACATCCTAGAGAAGGAAGGGGGAAAGGTGGGGCATTGCTCGGCAGGGTCAAGAAAAGGAAAAAGAATACCGTACCGGCAGTCTGCATGTCGTTGGTAGAGCCCATCATACGATGAATCGCGCCGGTGCCATGGTACGTTTGGGAGGGCAGCTGACCTCTCAAAACGGAGACGGTGACAAGCCACCAGGTCGTACGGAATTGCTACACCTGGAAAAGATCTTTGTTTCCCTCCCCCTCCCCCTCCCCCTCCTCTCCCCCCTCGCCTCCCCTGAGTTTACGGTGGTCAGGGCACAAACTATATGTGCTGGTCTCTGTTCGTAACCCGGTTCAAGGGCACGGTGATTGCCCGGACTTTTGTCAATTTTTGCATGATACTATATCATTGAGATGAACAACTCTTGTTTTTGGTGTGACTCAGCCACTCCTCTCTCATGCTCACCTCCTGAGCTGAGCTTCCCCTAATCAATTGCAAGCCCCAAAAAAGGACACATTTTCCCATCCCATAGGCAAAGATCAAGGAGACACGTGGTGATGAGCTCTTCTCTATTTGCCAATTCCTGCGTCCCCCGTGTGTATCGCAGCAAGTCCTGTTGTCCCCTCACAGTGGAGTCTCTCGCATCTTGTATTCCGTGTTCTCCCCCCCCCAGCACGGAGTACGGAGCACGCCGTATCACGCTGTATACAAGGGAGAGAGACGGGGTGCTACGATACCCCAATGTTAGGTAGCTATGTGAGGTAGCAGTTTTGCCGTATCCTGTTGTTCGGTGAGCTCCCCTTTCATTCTGCACATTTGCCAAGGTGACTGTCCCCATTATCTTGTTCCGTCGTCATTGTCCGTCACATACCACAAATTGCGAGCTGAGGACGCAAGGGGTCAAAGAACAGCCCCCTTGATTCTTCTTCTTCTTCTTTTTTTTTTTTTCATCTGCTTCTTCAAATTGTGAGATGGTGTTTGGCATGGCTTTCTTCATGCTATGTATATCTCTAGAAGAATGGCATGTGGAAACCGGGTCCCCCTAGCCCCCCCTCTCCGGGGATGAAGCTCCTCCGCCGGGGCCGGACGCCCCAATCCATCACGGGATTCCGGGCACGCTACGGAGCTTGCACCCAGTGGAGAGCCTCGGCGATGAAAGGGCCGCTGGATGCAGAGTTGGCTGTCCGGTTTGGAATGCAATGTAGCTTGATAGGGAAAAGAAATTCTAAAAATCAAAAATTACCCCAATCAATACGAATGATCTCCTAGAGCTGCCCCCCCTCTGCAACCAAACGGCCAAAAAACCGGAACCCCGCGGTGAGAAACGTGAAAAAAACCCAGATAGGACGTCATGATGCTGTGGCGGCGCTTGGAGTCACGCCCCTCCCGATGTTTTGAGTTAAAAGACGTCACCTCTTCCAACACCTTGCATTCTTTTCCATCAGGAACCAGCGTTCGTTCAGATTGAACAACCAACCAGTGCATCTCGAACTCACTCCAAGCTTCTAGGGCGGCAGAGATCGGATTCGAGTTACAACGTGCATTTGCTTGCCAACTCATGCATATCTCACATATCGCATATCAGACCACCTCGTCAAAGTTGGATGCACTCCCTCTCAGTCTCCCCGCTTCACTCCCGCTCGTGATAGTCCAGCACCGTGCTCTTATCTCACCTTGCCTCTCTTGTTTGCGACTTGGGACGAGAGACGTACCTGGTCAGCCTCTCAAAGCAAACATAAGCAAATGACTAATTAATATCCAACTGCTTCCACGACAACACCATTCGAGAAATCCGTCAGGTGCACGCTTTCAACTCCCTACCGCCTCATCTACCGGGGATTCAATCTCTGCTCCCCCGAAGACGAACCCTGCAATACGGCCTGTCGTCCAAAC